AGAATCTGTATCTGTGAATAACAGTTTAGCTCTATCACCATATTTATTTTTCATGTAATCATAATGAAATTCATACATCAATGTCTTACTCAAATCTAAAATGCACATACCCAAGTAAATGGGTTTATTATATACTAATTTTGTTCTTTTCATATGGATAGCTATCAAGTTTTCATCAAATATTGTTCTCATTTCATAGTTAGGTTTTGATGCTAATTTAATAGCTTCTTCTCTTTTAGTGACTAATCTAACATCAACTTTGTTTTCAATATTCTCCATTGTTTTTCCAAATACTGAGTTATTCATGAGGTTAAAAAAGTTTTTTTCAAAGTCATTTGTTGCTTTAGTTCTTAGATTTGTATTGAGTTCAATGTATTCACTTAGCCATGTTTTTTCTTTAAACTTTATATCTTTGTGAATTTTAGTTAATTTCAATCCTAATCTTTTATACAATTTCAAGTTTTCATAGTGAATGATATAATCATTTTTGTGATTCAAATTGGGTACTAATTTTTCAACTTTGTCGATAGTTAATCTTTCAGAAGCAAGTGAATAATCATTATGAGCATCATGTAAATTTTCAGGATAATCTAAATCTACTTCTAATATACATGAAATAGATTTCCAATTTTTTAATTCTTTTTCACTCATCCATTTAAAACCATGTGTTGGAAGTGGTTTACTCATAGCCCATTCATATAAACTATTAGCATCTAAATACTGTATGTATGTTAATTCTTTACTTTTATCATGTGTCCATATATTTATTATTAGCAGTTTCTAGCCTATTTGAAATCATACTAATTCCACCTCTTATTCCTTGCTTTATTATTAAGATCATATCATAATCGCTTAGCAACTCTAATTGTATTTTTGATTTCTTTAATGCTGCCTCCCAAGCTAACCCTGGTGAAGTATAGTACCAAGCGGGATCTAATTTATAATTTTTCATGCATACATCTCTAAAATTAAGACATCAGCTAATAATAATACATCTGAAACATTGTATAAATTGTGATAATCTCTAAATGTTTCACAATCAAACTCTTTCTATACAGTTCGTGCATGTAAATAATCTTCATCACTTATTCCTTCATCATTTAATCTTGAAAAGAAGAGTTCTTTTGGTGGTAATTGTGTTTCAGACAATTTATTAACAGAGTCAGCCCAATCATAGGGGTAAATACCTTTTCTTAATAATAAATCTAGTTTACTTCCAGAATAGTATTTTCCAATATTTTTACATTGATCTTTTGTTAAATTCTTTGATAAGCTATCTAAACTAGAAGCCATAAATCTAAAACTATCAACGAAACGGAGTTGTAGTTTAACTTCTTTAACTTTACCTTTTTTAGATCCTTCGGACCCAATACACTTAGTATACTCACCCGTTTTAAGTTCTTTAGAAAAGCTAATATATTTTTCTTCATTGTTAGGTATACCATTTAATTTTCTTCCTTCTCCTGACAATTTCTTTATGAACATGTGAGAATCATAACGGTATAAATTATGAAATAGGAATGGAATGAATTTTGGAAATTTAAATTGTAAATTACAATCATTATGAGCAGCATCTCTATATTTACCAGTAATATGACAATGATCGTGTACTCTATCCTCTTTTAGTAATTCTTCACAAATGTGGCATACTTTTGCACTATTAAAATTATTTTTGTCTTCAGTAGTAAATATCATCTTTTTTGGAAATTTTAAATATTTATGATATATTTTCTTTATATCTTCTTCTAATCTATCAACAAAAATTTGTGCAATATTATCTGTTTCACTACTTGCAGTAAATGTGACTGGACTGCTTTGATAAATACTTTCATCAAAGCATTTGATATAGTAACAAAATAAACTTGGAGTATGTCTTTGATATTGTTTTGTATAGGAGTCATTCGGATTAGGTGTACAAGTGTTGATAGGTATAATAAAACTTTCAAAGTCAGTATAGACTACATAGGGTACTCTAATAGACCTATTATAATGTACAAATTCCACTGTAGATCCTTCTTTTGGAAGCTCAATACGCACTGAATTATGAGTGTCACAATACAATTTCTGCTTTGATAATGATTCTTCACTATTAAATCCTAATAAACAATTTCTACAATAGCGTACAGTACATTTATGTTTAGATGTTTGTGATGAGAGTAATCTACTTACACTTTTTATTAGACAATAATGATTAGTTTTATCATTTGAAATGAGTAACTATTTGATGAATTTTTCTTACCAGATATACGCAGAGGGTAAACTGAGTTCTCATATCCAAATACATTGACACTTATATATTCATTATTTTTCTCAAATTGTGTGATCTGGTTTAATGATACTGGAAATTCTATTTTTTCCTAAATTAATTTATCAGCTTGTTCTTTAAGATCTTTATCTATTCTTTCAGAATTTTTATCTTTAGGATTAAAAAATCGAGCAACACACCACTTAAAATACTCTTTATCTTCATTTTCAATCTTAATTATTGCCTTTTTAGTAGCTAACTCTTTATCAAGTGGAATGTAAGATCTAGCATTGATCGGTCTATATTCAATGGTATTGATGTCCATCTTTTTAACAGAAAGAAATTTCCAATCTGATTCCTTCTGTAGAAATGTTGACAATGATTCTAAAATTTTTTGTTTAGCTTTTTCATAGAATTCATGTAAATCTGTTGATTCTAATACAACTTCTGTTTTTGATAAAAATGGATTAGTTGCTGTATCAATTTCTCCTTTTTTAAGATCAGTACGCTCCGTTTCACAAAAAAGGGCAAAATATATCTTTGATCCTTTATTACTATTTAGTATTTGAATGACACTGTTTTTAGCTTTATCCATATAGGATAAAGCATCATATCCTACAATACCTTCAGCTGAAATTGTTTTGTTACATTTCTAATAGCTGATTGTGTTAATTTAAATTATACTTGTTTCTTTTCTATCTTTTTTTCTTTTTTAGATTTTATAGGTTTTTTAACATGGACACTTTTAAATCCTACTTTTTCATACAAATTAGAAACTGTAGATTTTAATGTATTAGTTTGTGTTGTAGGTATTTCTTTAATAGGATTAGGAATATATGACATATCCCAATTTGTAAATGAATTAATTTTATTAAAAAATCTATTAGCAATATTTTCGATTTTAATATAAGCAAGAAAATTATTTATATCATTTTCAATTTTTTTATTTTTTAATAAAAATTCATGTAAATAATTAAAAATCTTGTCATAATATTTTTAATTATAAAAGTTTATTTACAGTTTGGAGATGAAGTCGTTGTTACAGTTGTATTTGCGTTTGCAGATGTAGCTATTATGCATACATTGACATTAACATTTGAACTTTGATTATTTTTATATAGTTAGTTTTTTTTAATTCATATTTTCTTTTAACGCTGAGTCTCCTGGAAATTTTTTAGAATTCAATATCTCAACTTTAAATCCATCTTCAATTTTTCCATTTCGTAATTTAATATACCTATATCCGTGTTTAGTCTCTTTTATAAATTCATATAAAGACTTGTATATTTTTTCTTCTCCTGTTTCTATGTTTTTGAGTTTGATAGTTACTGGCTCATTTCTAATTTTTTTAATCTTTCAAATTTTGGGTCTATCTCTTTTTTTATCTTTTATAGGATGAATTCTTGGCCTTCCTTTCATTGGCCTTGGTCTTTCTGATTTTTCAACTTTTTCTTTTTTAATTCTTTTAGCCCTTACTATTTCTGGATGAATCTTTGGCCTTCCAACTTTATTTTTAATATATGCATCTGATAATGCAGACTCTTTATTAATTAAATCATTATCCATAGCAAGCATTACTAATTTAATAAGATTGTTAGACGTTTGTTGAATATTATTTTCTTTTAGTAAATTTATTAAATACTTTTTCGTATATCTCATTTTTATCATATAAGGAAAAAAAATTTAAATTACTTTAAAATAATTTAAATTATTTCATTTTTTCTTGTATATTTTTTAAAATTATATTTTTTAAATCTTTACAAATGTTCTGAATCTTCTAAATCTTCTTCAAAATCTTCTTCTTAATCTTCTTATGAACCTTCTTCTGATTCTTCAAATCTTAATTCTTCTATTCTTTCTTCTAAATAATTTATTTTTCTAAACAATGTTTTTACTAATCTTTTTTCTATTTCTGTTTCTAGTATTTCTAACGAAGTATGGATCCCTTCGGGATCTAATCTTTTAATCTTATTGATTCTAATATTATTTCTAATGATAATTTTAAGTTTTCTACTATTTCTTCTTTTTTCTCCTGAATATAAATCTTCTATATCTTATGTTTCATCTAGTTTTTCTTCTAAATCTTCTAATGCTTCTTCTTCAAATCTTATTTCTTCTAGTATTTCTTCTAATTCTTCACTTGATCTTAATTTTAATCTTTTTTCTATTTTTCTTAATTCTAATCTTTTTTCATCAAATACTAAATATGATATTAATTCTAATCTATCTTCTAATCCTGCTTTTAATACTAAATCTTCTAATATTCTTTCTCCCGATCTTAATTCTAATCATAATTTTTCTAACCTTAACTCTAGTTAGTCTTCTATCTTTTTTTTTTTAAGTCCATTTTTTCTAGTTCTACTTTTTTTAACTTTTCATCAAATCTTCTTACTCTTAGTCTTGTTGCTTCTAAATCTTCTTCTGACATTAATTTTTCTTTTTCTGAATTTACTTGTTATTCAAGTCTATCCAAATTTAAAAACATTTCTTCTTCTAATATTAAATCTACTAACCTTTCTTTTCAAATCCTAATGAATGTAATCTTTCTTCTTTTAATCTTAATTTTAATCTTAATGCTTCTATTCTTTCTTTTAGTTCTTCTAATTCTTTTTCATATTCAGAATCAATTACTTCATTTTGCATTTCGTTTTCCATTCTTTATATTATGTTAAGAAATTTATTTAATTCATTTTTAATAAATTTATTTTATTGTATTTTTTTTATCAGTTCTTTAGAGATTTAATTCTCAAAGAATTTAATATTCAAAGCTAAATCTATTTCTATTAGATTGAAGTCGTCCAAATCTATCAGATATTATAACAGCGTATCCTGTAGTATTTGCTAAAACATTAATACTAAATGATGCTATAACTTGAATATCTACTACTGTTATTTTTAATCTTTCTGATTGCTTACTCACATCAAAAACCTTAATTGGATATAAATCGCTATAGTCTGAATAATTTATGTTACTTTGTGCGACTATTTCATCCATTCCATAAATATTTTTACGAAACAAAGCTGTATCTCTGTAAGCTTTTATAATTTCTTGATTTGGAAATGATAGATTATAATCACGTATTGGATGTTTTTCTTGATTAAGCATTACGTACATGTTTTTCAAGTTGCAATGATCAAATATTGAAGGATTTTGTTGTTGATTTCCACTTTTACCTATTTGGAATCTAACAATGATATATCTTGGTATTTCATTAGTTTTTACACCTAATCTCCAATTAAATTCAGTAGATTCTGGAACAGTTGTCATTACACACTGTCTAGAACGAAAAGGTGCTGGAAGTTCTACTTTTGATTCAATTTCTTTATAAACCGTAAGACTGAACATACTTGATGGATTTACAAATGGCATCCATAATGATATTTTTGTAAAACTTACTTTTCCTGTGGCTACACTAGCAACTCTAAAATAGCCATCATCAGTATAATTTTTTTTACTAAAGGTTGGTTTCCATATATCTAAAATGGTCGTGCGACAGTCGCACGACTGTCGCAGGACAGTCGCGCGACCATATGGAAACATAAGTCGTGCGACAAATTTTGTCTTGCAGTCGTGCCATAGTTGTCGCAGAGATAGAAAAAATTTTATCTCTACGACAATTGTCGTGCGAACTTTAAATATAATTAAATATAATTTAAATATATAAATATAATTGGTTGGTTATTTTGAAAAAACGGAATATTAAAAAAAAAGGTTTTCACACATCAACATAAAATGGAACCTGAACAAGAAAGACTTGTCGAAGAATTTAGCAAAGAAAGCTTTATGCAGGAAGTGCAGAAGTATCCTGTGCTTTATGACAAATTCAATGCTGAATTTAAGAACAATATTATGAAAAAAAATGCTTGGGCAGCCATTGGCGTTTTGTTTGGTTTAACTGACCAGGAATGTGAATCAAAATACAAAAATATAAGATCGGCTTATGGACGCTTTTGAAGGAAAAAAAAGAGTATACCTTTGGGCTCAGGACGAATTATCAGTAAAGAGTACGATTTTTTGCAGTGGTTAAATGTTTACATTGACCATAGAGACACAACAACTAATGTTGAAAATAAAGCAACAACCACAGAATTAACAACAGAATCGCCTTTGTCTTATATAGATAGTAATGATAGTATGGACTATGACGAAGATGTTAGTAATAAAATAGAATTAGAAAATAAAAATTTAAGCGAAAATACAAGTAATTCAAATACATTCAGTATTCAACGAAAAGCATTAAGTGAAATAAAATCTCCTATAAATATAAGAAAAAAAACATTGAAAAGATTATTTTCTACCTGATGAAAATTCAAAAATGCAAGATGCAATAATTAGTACGATGAACAATATTAATGCAACACTAGCAGTTATTACACATGAAGAAAACGACGATATAATACATTTTTGTAAATCTATTTGTGCTACAATCAAAAGACTACCTCCTAAAACTCAAGCAGTTGCTAAAATAAACATACAGCAATATTTAGCTGCTCTAGAATTTCCAGATATTGTTGACTGATATAAAATTTGTTTGTTTGTTTTTTAACATATATTTAAGAATCTTAATATTCTGTTACACATAGTTTAAACCATTCTTCAATATCATATAATAATACAGTTATAAGATTATTTTTTTCATTGTTCGAAAAATATTCTATTTCCTGCAAGATCGTGTCCACAACTAGTTACATAGTCATGTTGCCACGACAAGGATCCACTTAGATGATTAAAATACTCTGTTAGCGTTAATCTTACAGTGTTCGCATCTGTTGTGTATCGATTGCTTATACATCGAGGTAAAATATGTAAAGCATTACCTTCAACTGTTATTTTGCACCAGTCTCCAGGTATAACTTTACCAGAATTTGTTTCAAAATCAATAAATCCAGATGGTACATAGTTAATGCCATCATTGATCCTTAAATAATTATGTAAACAAATTGCAGCTTTTATAATGTTTTCAATATTTTCTGGGTTAGCTTTTATTGGACGCCTAAATACTCTCCATTTAGCTACCATAATTCCAAATGTGTTTTAATTGTTCGTCTAGTCCTAGATAATCGATAGTTAAAAATATGTTCTTTGATTGTCAAATTTTTACCAGAAAAAGGCTTCATTAACCATGATTTCAGTGCAAAAATATCATCACCAAGCAGAACTGGTGGTACTTGTGTGCCATTTGATAGCATTCGGTTTTTAGGTAGTTTAAATAAGTTGTTTTTGAAAACTTTACCCATTTTACTTTCATTGAATATTGAAGCATCGTTATCTCTGCCATAGCTACCTATATCAACCAAAGTAAAACAATATTTTGCATCACATATGGCTAGCAAAACCATACTGTGAAAGTTTTTATAGTTGTAATATGCTGATCCACTCAAACTAGGAGCTTCTATACATGTTTACCATCAATGGCTCTAATACAATTAGGAAAGTTCCATTCATTTTCAAATTGGTTTTCCAATTCTTCCCACTCATTTAATATACTTGGTGCCTTTAAATAACATGGTTTTAACACATCCCAAATAGCCTTTGTTGTTTCATTTATGTTGCATACTGTTGTTCTGCCCAGTCTAAAATAAAAAGCTTGTGTTAGTTGTGAATCTCCAGTAGCCAGGTATCTCAGTGTCACAGTCAATCGTTCTGAGGGTGATAATGTTTGACGACTTCGACATGGCTTTTTTGTAATGCTAGGGGCAACCATGGACAACAAGTGTTCATACCTTTCAGGTGACATTCTGTAAAAACGATAAAAAAATTCTCTGTCATGAAGTCGTAGCTCAGGAATAAGTGTGTTAAATGCTCCTTTTTCATAACGGTTTTTAAACAAGAAGCGAATCCAAAATTTATGTTTTCTTTTTTTTTTACTCTGCAATGTTCTAAGATCTAGTAAAGTATTGCAAAGTGCAAGCTGGCAGTTCAGGAGATCATATTTTTTATTCCTTGCCATTGGTTTAAAATCAATTAATTTTTATTATTAATTTTTTTTTTTAATATTTACTTTATTTACTAAACAAAGAAAAAAATGCTCCAATAGTATTAAAGCGGATGATAAAAATCTTAATACTTTTTTTTTCAAGTGTTGGGAAACTATTTCTTAACAACAATTAGTTGAAAATAATTTTTATACAGATATTTTTAACGTGGTATTTTAAAATAAATTTTGATAAATGCTAATATTATTGAATTTTTTAAAATTTGATACTTAAGCGTGTTTTTTGTAGTTTAGATAATTAAAAAAATCTTTAGCTAAAAGCAAATATATTATAAATGGTTCATAGTATTATAATAAATAAATAAAAGAAAGGATGGGAACAATATTTTCTTGGCATCACGGAAGTGATAAAGAAATATTTGTTTTGAAAACGCTTCTAAAATTAATGGAAACATCTGGTCGTGCGACAAATATTGAAAATGTTGTTGCGCGACAGTTGTTGCACGACTGTCGTGCGACTATATGGAAACCAACCTTAAGAACTAGTGAATGTGTTAATCCGTAAACAACTTTGTTGTAATCATCACAGAATCCAAAAATATGTTTCAGAGGAATACCGAATAAAAATGATCCTTTTGTAGTTGGTTTCTGAATTTTTAATCCTTGTCTTACTAAAAATTCTTTGTTATTAGCAAGTACTGCTGTTGTTGCAGTGTCTTTGTACCACTATTGACTTAATTCTTGCGAATCTTCAAAAGATTTGGAATATTTTAGCATTCCGAACATTGTAGTTGCTTGACCTGGAAAACTAACTGATTCTACCGTTTGATTTGATAATTCATAAGTTATTCGATTAAACAAGTGCATAATACCATTGTGTGTGTGATGAAACTGCATCTGTATTAGCATAAGCGGTTCCATCAGCTTTAACAAGTCTTCCATTAACTTGTATATTAGCTTCAGCTGGATATAAAAATAAATCTTGCTGTTCAATGGTAATTTTTATATCTCCAGGAATATCTAAATTTGTACCAATTACTGTATTATATTCTCGGAAATCATACTTCTGAATGCTTTCATCAATAATTGGTTTTGTAAAATTTAATATGTCAGAAGTTGGCATTTTTTTTATATATGTAATTTTTTTAAATCATTTTTTGTAATTTAAATCTCAAAATCTACGCTAATCTAAGATCTTTACCTTTTCTAACTAAATCTTGTATTCTGATTGCATTCTCATTTGAGATGCTTTTTTTAGGTTTTCTAGTATTTGTTATTGTTGATCCCATAAATAATTTATTTGTATTTGTTGTTACTTCATTAGATAGATCATTAGCTCATTAGCAGATGTGGCAAGTTCTTTTCCAGCTACTTTTGCAGCATCTATTGGAGTTTCTCCTAAATCACTAGAAGCTGCTTTACTAGCTAAAGCTCGCGATGCTTTTAATGCGTCAGTAATAGCTTGTCTTTGAAACATATTTCTAATAGAACTAAATATTCAAATATTCTTACACCAATGACATATTTCTTTACATATCTCTTATTTACTATATATATATTTTTGAATCTCTTTAACATAAATCCGGATCCGGAGTGATATTGTCAATTTAAAATTTAGGAGAAGAATTATCTGTTAAATTTCTTGTAAGAGAACATTCGAATTTTAGTGACATTATAACTATTTTAAGAGATATTTTACCTATTTTAAAAAATATTGAAGAAAATATGAAAAAAAGATAATGTAAATTAAATATTTATGAATCTCAAAAGAGATTTAATATATATATATATATATATATATATATATATATATATATATATATATATATATATATATATATATATATATATATATATATATATATATATATATATATATATATATATATATAAAATGGCAAAGTATCATAATATTATAGTAAATATTTCAGAAAGTCAGAAAGAAAAACTTAAAAAAGCAATTGAATCTAGAACTGGAACTAATATAGAACTATCACATTCAGATCTCAATGGCGAACATGTAATAGCTGTAACATTCAGATCTCAATGGCGAACATGTAATAGCTGTAACATTCAGATCTCAATGGCGAACATGTAATAGCTGTAACATTCAGATCTCAATGGCGAACATGTAATAGCTGTAACATTCAGATCTCAATGGCGAACATGTAATAGCTGTAACATTCAGATCTCAATGGCGAACCTAGCTGTAACAACTACGCAATTAAATAAAATCATAAGAGTAAATGAAAAAAGTGTTGTTGTAAGACTTACTTTAAGTAAAACGCAACTCATGCATAACGCTATAGTAGAAGGTGGATTTATTGGAGCACTTTTACCTTTACTAGGTACAGATGGAAGTTTTTTAATGTCAAAAATTGTTCTATCACTTGCAACAGGACTATTAACAGGAGTAGGTACATCTGCTGGAAATGCTTTAGTCAAAAAAAGTTGCTGGAAATGGTATTGTCTATATGAAAAAGAATGGGCATGGAGTTAAAGTTAGAGCTGCAGAAAACGGTTTATTTCCATAAACCTTTTCCTGCCCTATTCCTTCCCACTCCTATACTTTCCATTATCTCTTTTAGAAGTTTGATTTATAATAACAAATCCATGCGTTTCCGACCAAGCTTTCTTACAAAATTTTTAAACTCGTCTTTTTTTATACCACTTGAAACACGATCATTATAAATATGATTTAAATTTTTTGAAGCTTGCGAAAATAAACACATAAAATTTGAATTTTCTCTTATAGTTCTCCTAGGCAATTCAAAATAATTTTGTGCAAGGTAGAAACAATCTACATTATTGCGCCTTCCTCTTATATAATATTTTTCACACTTGTTTTGCTTTGTTAATTAAAAATCATCAAATATCATCAAATTATTCTTTTTAACATCTAGTTTTTCAGGATCTGATACATCATTCACCATCCATCATCCACCATCCATCATCCGGATCTGGTACATCATCCGTTTTAAAAAACTTACACTCCATATCTGTTTTATTATTTAAATTTTTTGAAATGTCTTCTATAATAAGCTCAGGGCTAGCATTCATTTTTTCTATTTTATCTTGTAACTTAAAAAGTTCAGGAATAACTTCTTTCAAAAGAACTTTTTAATTTTAAAAACTTCTTTCAAAAAAACTTTTTAATATTTTGTATTCTGGCTGAAAAAGAGATTTTCCAAAATCTTGTAAATTATTATAGTCTAACCAACAAGGCCACAGAAGTAAGTTCAGTAATAAAGTAGTTTTTCCACAACCTGATTTTCCTACTATAATTCCTCTTATACTTTTAGGTAATAACCAATTATTATTACGCTTACTTTTATTTACATTTCATGATATATCTATAATATCCATTTTTATTTATATAAAGATTTTTTTAATTTAATTTTATCTTACATGATTTAAAAAAAATATTAAATATATAAAATGTACTGTGTCAAATGTAGAAAGAAAACAGATACAAAAACTTGCAACCTTCTGTGAGTAAAAACATTAGAAATATGCTATGTGGAACTTGTGCTACTTGCGGTATAACAAAAACTCAATTTGCAAAAGGAGCAAAAAAAGGAGGTGATTTAGTCAATTCATTTAATTCAGCAAAAAAAAAAATTGAAATTACCATGGGCTAAATTTCCAGGAGAAATGCATTTACCTGGTATAAACATTCCAGGACCTGGTACTAATTTAGATGAAAGATTAACTTCTACTGATGAACCTAACAAATGGAGTCAACCTGTAGATAGAGTTGACAATGCAGCTTATACTCATGATCTTGCTTATAAACATTTTACAAATACTCCAAGTAGAAATATAGCTGATAAAATGATGATTGAACAAATTGATGCTTTAAAAAATCCTACAACGCGTGAAAAAATTGGAAGAAGTATTATAAAACCTATAATAGCAACTAAAACAAAGTTTGGTACTCAAAATTACTATCCAAAAAACTACCAGAAATCAGTAAAAAAGCAAAAAACATAGAGACTTTTTCTAAATTCAATGACGGTATAAAATACTTATTGATGGTGATAGATGTATTTTCAAAGTATGGATGGATCGTTCCATTTAAGAGTAAAACTGGAGTTAAGATTGCTAACGCTTTCAATAAAAATTTTAAAGAGAGAAAGTGTAATAAACTGTGGGTAAATAAAGGCTTGGAATTTTATAACAAGCATGTTAAAGCGTTAGGTGTTCAGCTCTATTCGACTGAAAATGAAGAAAAAAGCTTTGTCGTTGAACGTTGGAATAGGACAATGAAAGAGAAAATGTTCAAGTACTTTTCAGCTAATTCTACTGGAAAATACTTTGATGTTTTAGATATAATGTTAAACAAATGCAACAACACAAAGCACTCTTCAATTAAAATGACCCCAGCTGAAGCTAGCAATAATAAGAATGAGAATATAGTTTGGTTGAATCTGTATGGAAAAGTGAGATCAAGTCTGTTCAACCAAAGTTTTCAATCGATGATAAAGTGAGAATAATTAAAAAGAAATTTACATTTGAAAAAGGATACACACCAAGATGGACTGAAGAAGTATTTACCGTATCACAAGTTCAGTACACAGATCCGTCAACGTAAAAAATAACTGATCATAATGGTGAAGAAATACAAGGTACTTTTTATGAACAAGAAATGCAAAATACGAATCAAAAGATATTTAGAATTGAAAAAGTTATCCGCAAACTCGGAAACAAATTATTAGTAAAATGGTATAGCTATCCTGAGACTTTTAACTCATGGGTTGATAATAAAGAATTGATGCAACTGAACTATAATTATATGCTATAAGAAACCCATAGAATATTGTTAGGACAATGCTACTTTTATGCTTAGATGGTTGCTTTGATAGTTAAAATTAAAAAATAAAACCATAAAAAAAGTTGTCACTTTTTTATAACAATTTTTTAATTTTATCACGATGAGCTAGAAATTATGCTTGCGATGCACTTAAAAAAATTCAAAAAATTATGGATAGAAATGGTCGGAAAAAAATGAGCTA